CACATGTAAAAATCCCACAGGAAGACCACTGGGCTGACGGGAAAGAGGCAGCCTTACCTACCCTTTCCTTTTTTCTTCCCTTTCTCTCTCCTTTCTGTAGACAGGTCCTCCCTTGGCCTTAATCCTCCTAGCTCTGCTTCCTGAATGCTGTGATTACAGGAAGTGCCATCATACCTGGTTGCCTTTCTATTTTTTTGTAATTGTAACTAAAAATAGCTAAAGAAAGGGCCAGGGTGATTGCTCAAGTGGGAAAGGAGTTGGCCACCAGGCCTGATGATCTGAGTTCCATCCCTGAACCCACATGACAGAAGAGAACTGACTCCCACAAGGTGTCCTCTGACCATACATGCACTGTATTTACAAACAAATACCAAAAAAAATTGATAGCTGAATGGAAGCCTTAAGGAATGTTGTGGTTTACAACTGCTAATTAGACTTCTACTTTTCCTGCAGGAACTCATTTAAATTCTCACTTTGTTTCCTAAAACATATCAAACCACTCAATGACTAGAAATAAGATAAACAGGGTCTGGCTAAGAGTGCATACCGGTGTTACAGAGGCTCTGAGTTCAGTTCCCAGTACCCACATCAGCTATTCACAACTCCAGCTCCAGGGGATCCAATTCACATACCCCCAGACAGACACAGATGTAGAATTAAAAATAAAAATAAATCATTTTTTAAAAAAAGATAAAACAGAGGTATTGGGAAACAATGTTTCACTTTTGTTCCACTGGTTGTTCAGAATATCTTCTAATTCACTACGAGGTTGATCCAATTCTCTCCCCCTTACTGGGTGACCACACCTCTGTACTCCAAGCAAAGCTGTCCTGTAATTCTCCTGAATGCTCAGGGTCTCACAGTAAACAATTCATGTTTCTGTAGGTTAATTCTACACTAAGATACATGTATTATCTCCTTAAACCCAAGCCCCAGATTCTGAGTACAATGCTCCCTGTAGATAAGAGACAGAGCCCACGGTTTAAGTCCTCTGCAGTGCATCTGCCAGGATGGAGGACGGGAGCTAAGATCCGAACCTAGCGATGATTCTAAAGTCTGGGCTCTTCTGCCTTTCTATACTGACTCTTGTCTTACACTAAAACTGGGAGAGACAAATGAACTATAGAAATGATAACCTCATTAAACTACACCTCAAGTCCACATAAGAGCCACGTCCTGAACCAGCAAGTGAGCCACCCTACAGTTTTACTAAATTACAAATACTTTCAAAAACAGGAATTAAGAAAAAAAATTGTTCAAGTTTTTGGGGGGGTGGGGTTGGAGTTTTAGGGGGAGTAGCTCAGGTTGGCCTCAAACTTGTAATCCTCTTGCTTCAGAATCCCAAGTGCCAGGACTGCAGGCATGTGCAACCAGGCTAGGAGCAAGTATTGTATTAGCCACTTTGCAATATTATTTTGGCAAATATTTACTGATCTATACCAAGTGCTTGGGAATATAGAGACAAACGAGACACAGCCTTGACATTTGAGAAAAACAGGCAATAAAGATATAACAAGTAAATGCAGTAATTTAGCATGCAGAAAATAAAATGATATGCCTGCCAGGTGTGGCGCATGCCTTTAATACCAGCACTCAGGAAGCAGAGGCAGGAGGATCACAATGAATTGGAAGTCAGCCTGGTAGACACAGCAAAGCCCAGGCCAGCTAGGGCTATATGCAGTGAGACTGTCAAAAAAAAAAAAAAAAAAACACAGAGGACGAAGAGGAGTAGGAGGAAGAAAAGGAAAGAGATAATAGGAATTAAAGGTAATTCGAAAAGGCCTTCCTGAGGAGGATATATGTGAGATGAGATCCACATGAGAAGGTGGCAGGATCTGATGAAGCCTGAGAAGCAGGCAGTACAGGTGATACAGGCTCTTGGACCGACCACAGTACAAAAAATTTAACTTAACTCTGCTGCAACAGTATGTCAGTGGAAGGTTAGAAAGTAGAGGCATGAACTGGTGGGCATGGTAGCCCACACATTTAATCCAACACTCCCGAGGCAGAAACAGGCTGATCTCTTTGAGTTCGAGGCCAGCCTGGTCTACATAGCAAGTTTCAGGACGGCCAGGACTACACAGAGAAACCCTGTCTTAAAAAAAAAAAAAAAAAAAAAAAAAAAGAGCAGAGGCATAATATCTGTTCATATCATAGGAAGATCACATCAGAAAATAAGGATGGTGGTGAACAGCTACAAAACCAGCATCAGGGAGGCTGAGAGAGGATGCTGCTGCAGGCTGGAGACCAATGTGGGCTCTATGTTGAATACCAAACCAGCTGGGTAACTCAGACAGAAGATGATGAATGTTACACACAGGCCTAGAGCAAATCAATGGGACCTGCCTATGGAATCCAGGAAGCATGCTTGTGCATTAATTTTTTTCTTTACAATGCATAAAGTCTGTCACTGTTACTACACATCCTAAGATTAGGATACAGTGAAAACACCTCTGAGGACTTGAGCTATCTATAAGGAGTCCAGTGGAAGTGCTTGCACAGAACTCGGGAGGCCCTGGGTTAGATGCATCATAAAATGAAGAAAGAAAACAGGTCTTGAATATCCAGCAAAGTCACTTAAATTTAACTGAGGTCTAAATGACTAAATACTGCGTGTCAGAAGAAAAGGGAGAGGCAAAAATGGCTTCAGGAAAACGCAGAGAGATTGGGAATGCCCGGTATCTACCTCACAATTTTGCCTAAGCAAACTTAGCAACCAAACTCTGTCGAGATCTACAAAAAACCACAGGCCTAATACACCAACTACTTGTGTCTGCCTCTTCACCACTCAGGCGGTGTGAGGCAGATACCCATCACGCGTACATACCAATGTCCACAATTATTCTTAGCTATTTAGAAAGCTACATTCCACTCTGCTATGACATTGACAGCAGGTTTTAGAAAGCCAAGTGCATTTAACTTTATTTAAATTTTGCAGAATGCACTTTTTAGATAAAATATCACCCTCCTACTCTTAGTTCCAACAAAGGAAATAAGCTCAGACACAAAACAACAGCAGAATGGGAAAAATTCTGGTCTCATTGCTGACTAGGAAAAAAGTATGAACTGTCACTTGTGATTCCACAAAGCAGAGACAGGAACCAACTTATTCTCGAAAATAATGTAACCATAGAGTTAAAACACCAAAGACCAACAGCAGGGAATGTAAAAATGCTTCCTAACTTAAAACGGAGTGGAAGATGTTCTCAGCACATCAGCACTGTTGACTACCTTGACATACCAAATACATCAAACACTGTTTCAGAGGTAATGACAGAGTCAAATCCTAACTACATCATTTTACTGAGTAACCTTTAGCAACGTGACATTTCTGAACCCTAGTCTCATTTGTAATACTGTAGATTATAAAGTATATTCTAAGGTTTAAGGAAATGGCTGGCATGTGGCAGATACTTAGTCTTTGAAGGTGATAGCATATTTGATATTGCAGAGTCTAATTTTCTCTATGGCAAGAAATAAATGAAAAGATCTGATAATAGCAAACAGACACCTAAGCCAGTCTTTTTTCTTCAACATCCTCCTCAGCACTGCATTTTAAAGAACCAGAGAACAACTGTCCCATCAATAACTTTAACTACAAAAGGTTTCAAGTTTGGGGCCTTTAATTTTGAAGTTTTATCCATCCGTTCAGGAACAAGTAAACTCAAAAATATTACAGAAGCAAAGACAGCCACGCAGTAAGAAACCTGTTAAATGGGTAGACTGGCAAGAGGCTATAAGGATAGAAAGCCAACTAAAACTCAAATATGTATGGAGTTGGGATTAAGGCTGCTTGGAATTTAAAATGTAGCCCAAGCTGACCTCAAACCTATGGCAATCCTCCTGCCTCAGCCTCCAGAATGGCGTGAGCCACCACGCCCAGTTTAACAATCCACATTTTTAGAAGACCTCTTTTCTATATTAAAGCGGGGTTGTGGGGAAAGGCCCGCAAGTTGTGGGTAAAATATATTTGGGGAAAGTGTTATATGCTAAAATAAATAACATGAAGAAACCTAGACTTCCCATTTTGATTGCCTATGCAAACAAACTCAATTCTATAAAATGTGCTTCAGGTGACTAGAAGTGGCCGGAATCATTCTATGCTTCAGTACCAATGAAGATACTGATTGCAGTTTCTCAGTTGTGTCTCGTCAGTATCCCCAAGTCCGTATTTTACTGCTGCAAACACAGGTCAAGAGAAAACAGGTGGCCGCCTCACAGCTCGGTCAGAGCGCCTGGTGCTTCACATTCAACCTCCTTACAACACACGCCAAGTTTCACCCACATTAATCGGGGGAAGGCCCCTCTTCATACCCATCACGAGTTTCACGTCGGCGCAAAAACACTGAATGGGCCAACACATCCCCGGGACGTGGACGGCTCACACCCTAAGCTCGACTACCAGGAACCCCGGGGATCACCACCACGCCACGGCCTCTAAGAAACAAACGGACGCTGCCATCTCCGTGAAGGTGCAGAAGCACCAAGAGCACCCCTTCCAGGGCCCGGGGGGGAAGCCCGGACACCTCCGTGGGTCTAGGCCCAACGGCCCAAGGTCACGCCAGATGAGACGCCCAAAGAATTCCGAGCGAGGAGCCCCCTGCAGAGCAGGGCCGGCCTGCCCGGGAATGGAGTCCGGGCTGGGACACACTCGCGTCCGGGGCGGCTTGGATGTGAGCCCTAACTGAATGCAGCGGCTCGGTGGGCAAAGCCCCGAGCCCCGGGGGCCGCGTCCCCTCCACCTCCCCCCCGGGGTCCCCCTTCCCCGGCCGCCCCCACACTCACATCGCCGCAGCCACTTCATCCAGTGGTAGACGATGGTGCTGTGGTGCTTCTTGTTCTCGATACACCAGGACGACAGGCCTTGAATGGATTCCATGGTGTTGGTCACCGACTGGAATTTCCGATCCAACGAGGACTCCAGGGCCCCGGCGGACGAGGCCGACGAGGAGGAGGCCTTCCCGCTGCCTCCGCCGCCGCCGGCCGCCATCTTCCCGGTTTGCACAAGCGCCGCTGCTCCTCTGACGGCGGCGGCGGCGGCGGGAGCGGGCAAAACAATCACTGCGAGTGCGTGGAAGCAGCAGGCGGGGAGGGAGGCCGGGGGGTGGGGACG